ATGTCTTGTTGCATTTTATTATAATGAAAATGTATTTCTGAATAAAGGACAAAGTCTTTCAAATGCTCATAAATCACTTCCTTACTGATATGTGAGATCAACCATCACCTGATTGTATAAATGTTGGACAACACAGAGATGTTCAGGTGATGAGGCCTAATAGAACATTTTCAAGGCATTCTGTTTAACTTTTCATTTTATCCTGTGGTGGAAATTAGATCAGAGACTTGCTACCCTTCAGTAAAACAAGGTGTTTTACAGACATTTTAAAATAAATCAGATCAATTACTTGATAAGAGTAATAAAACTGAGATTTGCTGGAGTGGCCATTTTTACAAAGTGAGTCAATGCTCAGACTATGTGATACTAAAAAAGAGCAAAAATGAGAAAACTCCAGCTTTAGTTGCTGATGAAGATTCTCAGTCATCAAGGTCTTTGTCAGTCCAAGAAAGTAAAAAAAAAAAAAAATTGTTGGGTTTATTCAATGATGATTATAAAATTTATGTGTGCTTATGAAACATTTGTGCGAGGGGATGCTCCACTCCTGTCACATGATCCAGTCAGGAGACCATCCTGCCTTGTCATTCTGATGGAGCATCCTGTCTTCATGAACTGATCAATTGTTCTGTCAGAACAATACTCTGTTTGTAACCATGCATCATGTTATGTTAATAAAATGCTCTGCGGAGGAGGTCCAGTGGGAGACAGTATGTTTGAGTCGGGTTCAACTATCTCTCCTTCCTGCAGGAATTGTATCGATAAGTCTTTATTTCAGTTCTTCTTAAGAAAATAAACCCGACATTTTTGGTGCCGAAACCCGGGAGTCAAGATCCAATTATCCAGGACCGTGTGGGACCAAGGCCAAGAATCTGTCAACAGCCGTCCTCCCTTCGCCGGATGGGGCCAGTTTGGTCCAACCCTGCCCTGGGCATGTTGGTGACGGCTCCAGAGGAACTGATTCTACACGACAAAGGGTAGGCCTGAAGCTTTTGATCAAAAGTTGGTCTAGGACCATTTAAGTTACAGCTTTAATCGCAAGAATATTTGAGACCAATTCTTGTTGACGGATATGGCATCTGGGCATTCTGTGCGTGCGAGGGCCAAGAGTTGGAGACTCCAAAGTGTACACGATAGGTGTTTTTTGTCTATGTTGGTTAAAATAAAAAAAATATAATAGGCCTTAGAATAGGTGTGACTGTGTGAGAGTGTGTCAGGAAACAATCAAACCTTTCAGATTCTGTTGTTTCATGCTAAAACAGCACGGGTTAATACAGTACAACTCTTGTGGATGCAGAGGCAAGAATTTCTCACCTGAAAAGGTAGAAGCAGAAATTACCACAACAGTTTTTGGGTAATGTCCTGTTGAATAAACATCCAGTGCGTAGAATACCTTAGGTGTTTGTAATGGACTAAATTCTTTAAAATGGGAAAAGGTCAAAATAAATTTTGAGATAATTTAAAATCTATGATTAAAAGTTTGTAGAAGCGCAGGATCCAACCAAAAATAAATACTTTAATATATAGTTTGAAAAAAAATGGGTTTGAGGGACACCTCTATTCCAAGATAAAATAATAAGAACTAAATGATAACATTATAGAACTAAAGTGAGCCAGGGAGGTAAAAGAATTAAAAAGGATGAGTTCAGAGAAGAGTATAGAGAAGAACATAAGGGGTATGGAAAGTTTGTGTCAGATTGATCCAAGTAATTTAAAATACTTGTAGGAGTGGAAGTAAAAGTATGAAGTAGATGGTGTGTGGAAGTAGATCAATGGAGAAATGTTATGTGCCGCCTTAAAACACGCACTAGTGCAAAAATAGATAAATAAAAAAATTAATGAATAAATAAATATATAGATAAATAAATGAGCTCCAAATGGCGAGTTGTTGATACAATACATGCGCAAAGTAGATATGTTGTTATTAAAACATTAAATAAATAGTATGTTTGAGTCTGGGGTTCAACTGTCTCTCCTTCCTGCAGGAATTATATCGATAAGTCTGTATCTCAGTTCCTCTTAAGAAAATGAACCTGACAACAATCCACTCAACTTCGTTTCTATGTTTAAAGATGTTTTGCTTCCCAAAAATTGGTAGGACAACGAATAAATAAACTAACAGGTATGATGACGGCTTTGAAAAGATAACCTTCTTTCTAAAAAACTAATCTGAAGAGATAATTTAGGTTTCAAAAGCTGCCTATGATTTAAAGTTTCTGAACAGGGTGTGTGACATTGGTTGGTCTGAAAATGGCATATTTGCTGTTCTATGACCCCTAATTCAAGCCTGGTTAAAAGGCCTAGAATGAAACCACAGGTTTTTCTTCCTTTTATGGTATGATCATGAATATTTAGATGAGCTGTTCACATCTCATGTTTAAACTGTCTGAATTACAAGTTTGCACTTTGTGTTTTTTTTTTTGTTTGTTTTGTTTTTTTTAAACAGTGTCCTGTCTGGCAAGGTGGCAATAAGAATAATTGTCTTGATGCCAAAAGGAGCCCAACAGATTTTACTTTCACAAGTGTAGCAAGTATGGCAATTGCCATACTGCTACACTTGTTTCATGCATATAAATTGCATTATTATAATTATGCAGGGAGTTTTACAGTTCATATGGACACTGCAATGTAAGTAGAGCAGAAAAACAGAAGAAGAAAAAGGAAAAAGAAAAAAAGAAAAAAAAAAGGACAAAAGATGAAAAAAAGAGGGGATAGAAAGGAGACAATGACAAAACATTTTCAGTCTGCTTCATCACATGTAACGAGATGAAAAAAAGAGGGGATAGAAAGGAGACAATGACAAAACATTT